AACCAGACTATGGCTACACAGCCCAAACCTATGAGAAAAAGGACACAAAATGTGCGATTTTCACAAATTATAAATTGAAAATCGTCATGCCACAAGAATTATTTTATAAACTATAGTGTCTACAAAACCGGTAAGACAAGACAAGTTAAGACAAATAACTGATAATTTAGGATCGTCGTTTTACAAACAAAAACGGTGTACACAGATTATGGAAAAGTTGTAATCTTCACTTGTACTTCGTTTCTATGTAAAAATGGGAATTGTTTGTCGGCCTTCTAACGGCGAAATTTATCTTTACATTGCGACCCTTCTCCCTCGCAGTCTGATATTAAATTATTATAGAAACAAAACCTAATAAATATAGAATGATTGTTTTTACAAATATATTCCACTTCCCATGTTATTATGTTTCCATACTTTTCACTTCCCGGGTTTCCACTCTACGCGCATTCCTTTCCCTGGTGATCTGCAATCAAATTGCGATGACATCATCGTATCATTCTAATGTCTCCCTCTGGAGTTCAGTTGTACCACAACGAATGAAATTCATTTTGTAACCACGCACGTAATTCAATTGTGTTTCACTGCCTTTAAGCAAATGAACGTACACTTGTGTACACATTGGACGAACGTGTCAAATGGCGTGTTCAAATAGCTCAACGCGTAACGTAATTAACGTTGATCAAAACAAAGAACAGGTCGCATACCACATTTATAATTAGTTTTCTAATAAAAACCCGACTCCGTCACATGTTATCGTCCCTCCATAGTGTGCGCGGTGTATCCCCTAAACATGAATAGAATCACCCTAGCCCCATTAAATATGACAGGAGTGCAGTGACCGTCCTCGACATACCACGTACCATTCAGTGGTAATGCGTGGTTCGTAGGAAACCAGCTTGTCACCGGCTCGTTGAGTCGAGTCATTTTTCTCTCGGCCGGCAAGGAGGTCGGCGTTTTTATCTTACTTTATATACCATTTCCTGCCGGCAACATGACGAGCGTGGACATTGGGGAGGTTTTAAAGATATTGGGAGCATTCGGACGTTATCAACGGTTTGTCTTTTTCTTGATCTGTTTTGTCATGATACCATGCGCCTTTGTCAACCAGGCGACAATATTTTTGGGAGTTTCGACTGACCATTACTGCCGGATATTCGACAATCAGACATACGAAAAGGACTCTGCTTTAAAGGAATGTTTCATACCATATAGCTATGACAATGTCAGTGCCAGTGTAACGTGGGAGAAATGTACAATGTACGAAGTGAATAAATCCCATAGTAGTTCTCTATCGGTAGAATGCAATTATACGGAACCAATAACCGAATGTTTAAACGGATGGGTCTATGATAGGTCCACTTATGAGAATACAATTGTACACGAGGTATGTAATATCATTATTGTACACCGTTATTTCACAAGCTAATTTTAATTTAGGAACCGTGGAACGCGGTGAAAACTACTGACAATTGAAACCCCCGGTTGAAACCAGCTGATCGCAACGAGTTCCTATTGTTCTCGACAAAACTACTAGAGTGGAATAACCCTGCGTGAGAAAAAAAAGGTCAACAAAACCGGTCACAACTCGGTTTGCGGGTTTCCCCTTGACCCTTTATATACTAGCAACTGTTCCAGGATCTCATTTCCTCGTTTCACTGTGAGCGTGACTTAATATTAACTCATACGAGTACATACGAGTCAATATTTAGTGCCTGTGATAGCCAAAAAATCTCTGTGCATAGAAAACCCTACAAATCCCTCTTTATATCTTTTAGTGTACGCTGACCTCGAGGTTGTGTGAAGCCTGCAACTGTCGTACAGTATCAACGTACCATTATGGTTAATGTATCATGATACTAAATAATTATTTGAAATGAATGAACAAATAATGACATATCTGAAACAATTTCTCAGATTAAATTGGACTTTAAGCTGTCTACAGCCGAGTGAAATTAATATAACTGTACGGCTTAGACGTAATTACAGTTTTGTATATATTTGTAATGAAACGTAATTATGACCGAACAAAAATCTGTCATCGATGACTAGCAGACGAATGGAATGTCAGACATCTAGATGGATGCAAAATTCCACTGTAGTTTTTTTTTCATGAATGACTGGGTGTCACACATCTGCAATGACGACATACAAGTTTCCATTGTGTGACTGTCTTCTTTCACTTTCTATGGTTACGTGATCATACACCATAGATCTTCGGTATACGTTTAATGTGCTTCAACAATTACGACCAACGCCACCGTAACCGCCACCGTGACATTTGTGCAATTACAAGTAAACACTCCGGTAAACACAATTTTATTATACACGCGTTTTTTATGTTTCGTAGGACTCACACCGAACACGACGCGCCGTGCTTATTGGGTATTCCCACAATGTGTTATCGACTGTCACTAAATTCAGGTCATTTCCTAGTAATTCGCGTTGTATCATCACGCGTCCGGACTGGTAACAAATAAACCGTACTTTAATATTTAACTAATCGAACTGTGTCTCTTGCACACTGTTGTTATATAACGAGTCAACAACCCAAATAATGTACAATTCCAGTAAAAAGTTTTGACCTTGTTCAGCTAATAATATACTGTAAATAGATTATTGCGACTATAACTACGACAATAATACTATTTTTATTACACTTACTTGCAAGGGTGAAAATAGATCACAATAAAAATATGGCACAATACTCATCGACTAAATCATGTGCAGATTCAGAATTTCTTAGATGTCTATTATGTTTGACATCCTCAAATTTACATAATTTGGAACCCTAGCAAATTCTGAATACGACTGTGGTGGTCGAAAATAATCAGAACAATACCAATAACTCAAACAGAAATATACCTTGTGTTTTCATCTTCCCATATTTGTCAAATTTGGAGGATTATTAGACAGTTTTGTGATAACGTTTTGTCTCAATTTCACTTCGTGTTCTTTAGCGATTGCGAATGTCGAAATTCCTCAACACATCTTCGTCCACAGTGCTTGACTTTCAATAAAGTATTCCCAATGTAACATTGATCTTCAACTTCAAGCAGGTGACGACCCTCTCGCTTTAATGAAAGACTAATTTTATCATACATCTTCTTCCTTGAATAAAATTACCATTTCTTATAAAATACATTAGAGTGCAAAAACTATCGTTTGATTTAGTGGTCACTACACTCTCAAATATTTACATCTGACCCTTTATCGTCCAACGTCACGTCTACGATTATAGTTAACTAGAACAGGGCTATATTGATGTTGCTGATGTTTAAATCTACGATTATATGTTGAACAATGGGCGATTCAATATCTCATGACGTACATATGTGCCTATCTGTTAATGTCTACGTAAATAGATCACTGCTGGCGGCTGGCCGCATGGTGAAACGACGTCAGTAACGTGCACCACAATTGACGAATTCCGACATTAATCTTATCTGTATTTCTAAGGTTGTGGTGGGAAGGGATACTGATAGAAAGGGTATGTTATGTCTAACAAGTCATAGGTTGGGAATCGCGTAATGGAAACTTCAAAGTGTGCCTTTTTGACAGTCGATACGTGTCCATTTTAGCTGTTTGATCAAAAGGACTAATGTACACCCAGTCACGGTTACTAAAAATCTTTTTTAGTAACCGTGACCCAGTGCAGTATTCCATGTTGCTAGGGCCACATCAATACAAGAGACATTAAACACGGGCAGAGTAATCTGCACCAAGTACTGGTAGTCAATTTTTCTTAAATCGTTTCAAATAATTTGGCGCCAGGACAATACACGTCAAATTAAACATTGTAGTACCTTCCATGGTTATGTGAAAATGGTACGAACAGCGACAGACGTGCGTAGTTAACACCTTTCGTCAAAACATCGTTCCTATTTGACGCGCCCTCTATTGACGACGCGTTTCATTGACGTAATAGGTTAAAGAATGCGACCATTCCCACTCTCGGTAAATATTGCTATGAGGGTTAACAGTCAATAAAAAATATTGTATTTTAGAGATTGGCTATATTCTAAACGACACAATCAGTTATTTTGTACAACACTACTTTCACCAACCGACGCCATTGTTGTCACGGAAGTACTTCGACGGCAGCGGGCGCTACTTGTAGGAAAGATAATTATAATACTATATATATTATATATGTACTAATAAGATGAGATAGAAAACAGTAAATCTTAATAACATTTCAATCAAGTATATATTCTGGCCGATGTACACAAGTAGCGCAGCGACTCGGTAATATTTTGAGTCCATTTTGTTATGTCTATAAGCGGAACTGTTGTCACGGATCTCCTCCAAGCGCAAATTCCCATAGCAACTGCCACGACCGCTCTTCTACATTATCGGGATATTTGGATTCGTCACGCTCTTCTCTAACCCCAGAGAATAATCACTGTGATGTCAATACTGATAGTATCGTTTTAAGATACGGTACTGTTCATGGGATAGTATCCTGGGGCACGATACTATGGGCACGACATTATAGGCCAAGCAAGCATTTGGGAACGATACACGGTACAATTAGCTACCGGGGGTACTTCATCGGGACATGGTCATGACATCCTCCCCGGGGATGGACTTTGACGATCGAAATGTTACAGAAGAGTTACAGAAAGAAAAAATCAGCTTCATTCTCCTGATTGTTGGATCACTCAAGCTCTAGAGACATACTTTGGAAAATATGAAATAATGAAAAAATTATACCCTTTTTCAGACAGACACTGGGTAAAATAACATGCACCTTTTCAGACAGAAGTGATGAATTCGGGACCCCTTTTGGCGGCACATACATATAGCACTTCAATGTGAGTACCTCTCCCCCCGGTGACAAACCCTTCAGGATATGGCAATATTGCCGAAGCTCCAGGACACATCACTCTTCATGGGCCAAACCCTTGGGACATGATGCTCCCGGGATAGTATTTTTCATGATTTGCCCTTTGGACTAAGCTTTTGAGCACAACTCTCTTCGTGTGGTACGTCCTCGGGGCATGGTAACTAGTCTCTTCATAAGCTAAGCCCTCGAAAATGATACGATTACGTCAGACGTCACTGTGCCGCTGACCAGACAAGGATAGCAATTAGACAAGCCTGTGATTCAGTTAGCCTCGTTCTCGTGTTTATCGACATGACACTGCAACTACGGAGGTATATATGTTATACAAACGTAGTACATGATTGATTCGATCTATTTATAGCGACTAATATGTCGGAAGTTATCCTTCACTACAAAAAGGTGACATAATTGATTTGTGTGTTCAGTAATAAACTAGACGAATTCATATGAATTAGTATATATTGAGAGAGAATACTACTTATTTGTTTAAATTTTGTTAAGTCGTACCTAATATGCACAGCATTCAAATATAGACGAGTGGTTTACCTACTTGTGTCTAAAATGCTATTTCTTTTCAAGGTTATACAACAACCCGATAAGATTGAAGTGCGCCGTAGGAGGATATTTTTTTCAGCTCATTTCCGAAAAATAAATATGGCGATTGACTAGTAACTAGTTAATTTTGTTGTATGTGCATTATAGAGTGGTACTAATAACTAGATTCGAATTCATGTCACACCGATGTTAGTTAATTTAAATAAATGGCTTCTAAAAATGATACCGCTCTTGACAGTTACTCAACAACGTTGTGCCCTCGTGTAATCACTTATTTCCTTGAAATAAACTTTTAAAGATCCGCGTGATTCCCGGGATTGTTTAGTCAATATTCTAAAGTTACCGAACTTAAAGGGCGGTGGTCGTCTCGCAGTGCGTGTTCGAATTTCATGTAAACATTGTACGCGTATCGAATACGACGCGGCGCGACCACCACCGCCCTTCAATCATGATCATATTTGACTACGAGTAAACTGCTATAGAAGCTATTTTCACTATAGGGTCAATCTCTTTATATACTTACTTCATATGGGATACACAAACATGGACACTGACCCTTAAAAATGTAGACCCTCTGAAACGCTATTGCCTGCATTTTGAGGGGCAAATTTTGCTGACACAAAGGGTTTTAGCTTGATTTTAGAGTGGGCGACCTGCCCCCGTGCCGCCGCCACTGGTGACAAGGTTGCACGGATAGGGGTAGGAATTACACAGACAGGGGGAATATGTATGGACGGGTGGACATCCACGGAAAGTGGCTCACCTACGCGGACAGGGGAGAAACACGCACGCGACAAGGATACGCAGCAGAGACGGGGATATATACGGATTGTGTGCATACAAAGACAAGAGGCAGGGATACCCCGGAGGGATACACTGACATGGGGAAGCATTGACAGAGAGAGTGATACACGGACAGAGCAATGGATACGTTTTACCTCGTATCGATATCACAATTCCGTGATGAGCTTTAAAATCAAAAAACTGTCTCACATCAGTATTGATTCAGGCATTGACGTCATAACCAATATGTTATTCCAATCACGAGGGGAGAACTACTTCGTTTTTATCTCGAGCGTATTCAGCTTAGCTTAAATGACTGATTCGATTTCTGAGTTCAACGCATTGACGTGAAATAATTCCTCGATGCTTAAAAAAACCAACAGATTTTGAATGTTCATTTTAATAAATTTCTTACGGTCTTCATGCCCCCCCCACTTATTCGATATTCTTTGCTTCTCCTTGTATTACGTCACGGTTCAATATACATCTGATGTATTGATTTCTTGAATGGGAAATTGTAAATCCCACGTGACGTCAGACACTTGCATGCTCAGAAAACATAATTCTCCCACCACGAGTGCAGTGAATTTGGCAAGGTGCCAGGACAATCATAACTAGACTATGTAGTAGTTCGTTTTATTGGCCGGGATTTTTTATTTTCAATATTGTGAAGTGTCATTGACATTGTCAGTCCTGACTCCGTTCTATCAGCTTATAATTCAGGTTTTCACATAGGCCATGTTTTCACATATTCCATATTGGCCTGGTAACTAGTCCCGATCGAACAGAAGGTCCCTCAAAGTTATTCCTCCGGAAAATGCATCGGATCTATTCTCTATGGTATTTCCTTTGTTTTGTATAGGGCCCATTCATGGGCAATACTAGTATAAAATAAAATTATCATCCCGAAGACGCACGCGTGTCTTGGAGGACGCTAGTTCTAGCATAGACAGTATAGTATCTATATCTATACTGTCT